TGCCTTACAGTATGGTTACAGAACGTCTTTACTTAAAATATACAAAATGTGGTTTTGTGAAATTCGCTCTATAATTTAAGCAAGACAGCTAGGAAGGGGGGGTATTTTCCTCAAGATAAAGAAACGGCAATTTACATGACAAAAACAGTGGAAATAAGATTATCTCAGAGTCTCAGAGTAATTTGAACTGATAAGATTTCATTCGTAGACAAAATCGACCAGTCTTCTATTTTTGTGTTTTTTGTTATGTAACATTTGTTTAACCGATTTTTTGCCGATTTTAGAATTTTCGTTCACAGGAATGATCTAGCTCACATTTTACCTTTTGATCATCATTTGTTACGTTTTGAAATTAACAAAATCTTACAGCTGTTGTACTATCTATAATCTGTAGAACTGTTATGCTTGTTTTGTTGTCATATTAAAACTTTTGCACAAAGTATCTTTTGCACCTACCTTCAACTGTTCCTCCTGAACCTGCAAATTACACTTGGTTCTGCAAATTTTAAATTTGCAACTCAAAGCTATAAAAAGTTGTAAAACGAGCTTGTAAAAAGGGGCCTGCATGCTAAAGTGAAGGTATCCATAATGATTTTTTTATATTTATCATTTCAACATTATTTTTGTTAGGTATAGAAAACGTTTCACGTTTCTTTATAAACATCGAATAACACTATAAACGTGAAAACCCCGGTCGGAAATTGATTTGAGTATATGGTGCTTTACTGTCTACATCCTCTGTTTCCCGGCGCCAAAGTGTCGGACACTGAACGGATATAAAAGAGTTTAAGATACAATATGTTAGACACTGAACAGATATAAAAGAATTAAAGATACAATATGTTAGACACTGAACAGATATAAAAAATTGAAGATACAATATGTTAGACACTGAACTGATATAAAAGAATTAAAGATACAAAATGTTAGACACTGAACAGATATAAAAGAATTAAAGATACAATATGTTAGACACTGAACAGATATTAAAAGTTGAAGATACAATATGTAGGACACTGAATGGATATAAAAGAGTTCAAATATGCAATATGTTGAACATTGAACGGATATAAAAGAATTTAAGATGAGATGTATGGACACTAAATGGATATAAAAAGAGTTAAATTGATACAAAATGTCGGACACTAAACAGAAATAAAAATAGTTTAAGATATTAAATGGATATGAAAAGAGTTTAAGATACAAGATGTCGGACACTAAATGGTTATAAAATTGTTGTTTGTTTACAATAAAACTAGTTCTAATATACGTCACAGTAGAACATAAACAACCCCAATCTTCTCAGTAGGAAATATATATCCTTAAACCTTACCAAACTTCAACATGATGTAATAGCAATAAGTTATAGTAATAATATTGATAATAATTATGACGATGATAATGATGATAATGATAATATTATCTGTAACAAAAATAAATAAAAATACTACTACAACTACTACTACTATTACTAATAATAATAATAATAATAATACTAATAATAATAATAATAATAATAATAATAATAATAATAATGATAATAATAATAATAATAATAATAATAATAATAATAATAATAATAGTAATAATAATAATAATAATAATAATAATAATAATAATAATAATAATAATAATAATAATAATAATAATAATAATAATAATAATAATAATAATTATTTACTCAATTTTTATAAAGTAGAAAGTGTGTTTCTTCAAACACGTTTCGGTAAAAGGTAGAGTTTTGTAAACTTTCTGCTTATATAACTGCAATATTTCCCTCACGTGATACCAAGGAGTATGAAATGTAAGGGAGATGGAAAAGACACGGCCCGCCCTACCATATGATTATACATGCTTTGCAGATAGTACTCCATTTATATAATAATTACTCGTCTGATGTACGAATATGCGTACATGTATTCAGAATACGTATTTTTCATAAGTATGACATCCGTATTTTCGTAACCATTTCCTTGGTAAAAATAAGTATTTTATGTCTGCAAAAATGCGTCTGTAAAAGATCTAAAAAATCCAATGAATCAAGAATATTTAGGTTTTTCATATACATAGATTAAGGGTTGAAAAAATCCTGACATTTTTTAAGTTTTGGCATTTATAGGTTTTACCTATACGTAAAAATACGTACTTTTAAGGCATGTTCTAGGTCTGATACCAAAATGTTAAGAAGCTAACTATAATATTGCAAGCACATAGTTCCTTCCTATCTAATCTATACATAGTTCCTTCATATCTAATCTATACATAGTTCCTTCATATATCTAATCTATACATAGTTCCTTCATATCTAATCTATACATAGTTCCTTCATATCTAATCTATACATAGTTCCTTCATATCTAATCTATACAATTAATTCCATAAATTTCTTAAATCCATTCATTATATATCAATTATTTTCAAACCAATCCATTATTATTCTACACTAATTCACACCATCATCATTCCTTCATCTGTATTCATCTAAATCAACATTAATATATGCATTGTTTTGTTGTATCTTTAACAATTACAATTATACTTTATACACTTATACCATTATACCTGTTACAGGAATGTTAAAGTAGAACTTCTTTTTATCAAAAAATCGAGAATTTTCTGACATTGATTCTAATGAAAATATCAATTTACTCTAAAATGATAGAAATTTTAAAACATTATATTTACCAAAATGTTTGCATTGAATTTCTTATATAACAATTCTCTTGAAAAATCATAAAATATTTCTGAATTCTAACTTAAAAATGCATTTTTGTGCATTTTAGGTTTCATGAATTTATTGAAATTTTAAAAAAATTTGTTGGCATCAAACTTTTGAACTCTAAAAAATACAATTTTTTAAGTGAAGAAAAATCCGTAAAAGTTAATTCTTCTAATCCATATATTCCATACTCCTTGCTTGGTCCGCTAGCTAGCTAAAGCTGTCTATTTCACGTTTCCCGGAGAACAGGGCGTACTGTTCAAATATACTCTGGAAAAAAATTGTATAAAGAAATAATAATTTTTTTAATTTTTTTAATGTGACTTCTGAACATGAATTAAATAAGTTATATGCCCCTGTTTATATCTGCGCAGTTGACTAAAAATATGTTTGCGCAGTTGACTAAAAATGCAAATAAATATTTATGTTTCTTTTTCCTTTATATAAACGTCAAACTTGCTTTACAGTACACGAAAACCCTCTAAAGCCCCATCAGAGGAGCTTCTTTGTATTTGTTGCTATGCAACAAATGACAAATTGATAAAAAAAAATTTATTTTAAAAATTGATAAAAAAAGGTTTAAAAGAATTGATAAATAAAGAGGTTAGAATAATTGATAAAGGAATAGGTAGAAGAATTGATAAAATAAAGAGTTAGAAGAATTGATAAAAGAAAAGGTTAGAAGAATTGATAACAGAAAAGAATAGAAGAATTGATAAAAGAAAAGGTTAGAAGAATTGATAAAAGAAAAGATTAGAAGAATTGATAAAAGAAAAGATTAGAAGAATTGATAAAAGAAAAGATTAGAAGAATTGATAAAAGAAAAGGTTAGAAGAATTATTAAAAGAAAAGGTTAGAATAATTAATAAAAGAAAAGGTTAAGAGAATTAATAAAAGAAGAGGTTAAAAGAATTAATAAAAGAAAAGGTTAGAAGAATTAATAAAAGAAAAGGTTAGAAGAATTAATAAAAGAAAAGGTTAGAAGAATTAATAAAAGAAAAGGTTAAAAGAATTAATAAAAGAAAAGGTTAAAAGAATTAATAAAAGAAAAGGTTAAGAGAATTAATAAAAGAAAAGGTTAAGAGAATTAATAAAAGAAGAGGTTAAAAGAATTAATAAAAGAAAAGGTTAAGAGAATTATAACAATAACATCATACAAATTAAAAATAGGCAGAGACAAAAACAGTGCAAATGGAGCAGAATGGCAAAAGGCAGTGTTTATCTTTAATTATAATTGATATTTTAATGTCGAATAATTGTTCAGAAAGAAAAGCATGACAATTTTGTATAGAATTCTGCGTATTGCATGCTAAATTCGCAAAATTTTGCAAGCCATGGATCGAAACTGTTTCACGCAATGTATTTTATAATTCAACAACATTTCCTTTGACCTTTCAAGATTTCACAACTTGCAAAATATGTTCAGAAAATGAGGTAACAATTATATGTACATTAAACAATAAACTAAATTGTTTAACCAGTTGAGCCGATTGAGCCCGTACATGCATTTGTAGATCCGATCTATAAATCCACGAGAAAAATTATGGACATTTTTTTTACTTTCATGTTCAGCACTAGGTTTTCTTTCCCATGTATAAGTGCTATGAGAAGCTATTCTGAATCTGTCAGGGGGGTGCGATGGTCCTGCCGCCCCTTTCTGTATCCGCCCCCCTGAAGCAAATTATTTAACGACAAGTGAAGATTTTTTTTCGTTTTCGTGTTTTTTTGGAGGAACTGTTGAAATATCTTAAAATGTTAAATGAAAAAATTACACATTTTTTTCAAGAGGCGTATATGAGGGGTTCATGGGGTTGAGTAATTCCCCCCCCCTCGAATCCTGGGGGTAATTCCCCCGCCTCCCCCCTAAAATCTTGGGGACATAATATTCGATCCCATTTAGAAACGTGATCTCCAAAAGTCCTCCATCTTGCGCCATTCTCCTTCCATGTCATGAAATTACCATTATAAGTGGAATTGATACTTTTACTCAATTTCAACTTAAACTGAGTAACAAATAACAATTAGAGTTTACCAAAAAATCGATTTTTTAATGCAGTCTAGCTAGTCTAGCGTACTATGTTCAGGTCGTATTTTAGTTAATTTTTCTAGACCAGGGTTTCTTATACGTTCAGTTATATAAATGTCGGTCTGGTCGGTCCGGTCCAAAGAGGCGCCAAATTGCAGAATGGACGGGCGTGCCGGTATCACACGACGTACCGGTACAGAGACATGTACCGGCACGGCAGAAGCTGCAGCTAAAAAGGCATGGTACTTTTATTCACGCACAGGCCACAGACGGTCTACGCTCAACAGACCAGGCTTGCTGAGAAGGATTGTTAGTTTATGTTGAGCTTAAGGAAGGGTAGTCTGTATTAATCTTTCAGAGAGTAAGAACACACTCGCAGTAAATTTAAATTCAACCAGGTAGAACATTTTTGAAGAAGGCAGTGCAGCTGTGAATTAAATTATAATCAATTAAATAAAATCGTTCTTTAGGAAATAATACCCCATTTCTTATTATATGCAATGGCTCGTTAGAATGTTAAATAAGAATTAACTTCCAATACTGTACTGACTGGCATGAGTATAACTTGTTAAATGTGTGCGCGAAGCGCAAAAAAATGTTTTCTTCTAGTGTCTTTTTATGTATTTCTTAGTGTCTGTAAGGCTTAGTCATATTCCCTTTGTGTATTAAGTCCATATTGCAGTCTAAATTAGATGTTTGTAATTCATCTACTGGACGTAATTCACGTAATTGCCGAGAATCCATAACAAGTCTTTCTGTAGTCCCTCTGCCCTTGTTTGACAATAAAAACGCTAACCCTTTTTGGGTCCGTCCTATACATTCGATTTTTGGACTAATTCATACTTCAATTTACTCCATCTTCACATTTATCAATTCATACTTCAATTTTCTAGAATTTGCTGCACAAACATTTCAATGATTTGTATTAATTCAGGGCATTTTATTCAATTAGACAAACCTTTGGCATTGTCAGGTGTTACTTTTAGGGCCCCCCCTGTAACTCCCAGGGGGGCAAGATGAGCAGTGCCCCCTCCCCCTGTAAACGCGCCTGTTTCTACTGTATCTCCTTTGATTACCTAGCAGTTTCCTGAGTGTGTATGTGTGTCGGGTGTGAACGAATTATGAATATGAAATGTGAATCTTAGTCCTTTCTCAAAATCTGCAAACCTCTCTAGCTACTCCTATTACCTCCCTCCCTTCAGTAACACCCCCCCCCCCTATGGAATGCATGTAAGACCCTTCCCGCCCTAGCTTACAGCTGACTGAACTAAAGCCGGTTTAGTTTACCGGATTTTCACTATGAAAGGACTCGGAGCCATTTTAGTAATATTTGTATTCTTTTTTACGTGTAAATGGGTTGGATAGCCTCAATTTACCCAGTCACTTTAAGGGTATAATGGCCCCTAAATTGTCTCATTTTTTTTTTAAAGGAAGGATATCTATTTATATTTCCAATATCCATTACATCTAGTTGTAATCTTTGTCTGTCTGTCTTTCTGTTTGTTCGATCATAACTCAGGAACCCTTGGACTGACTTGCCTTATTTGATTGGGGAACTCGGGAAACCTACGGGAATTTAGTTTAGTTTTTAGATTCTATTTGAGTGGGTCGACTTCAACAGCGAAAATTTAGTTTGACAGTAAAATCATTCAAGTGCGGGTATACAACGGGAGTAACTTTTATCAACCTGGGCAGCGCTGGGTGCCCAAGCTATTATATATATAAAATGTTGTAATCTCTGTTTTTCTGTTTGTATGTCCTGTAAGAGTCTTATTAAGTGGAAGGACTTCAATGGCAAAAATTTAATTTCCCTCTAAAATCGACCAAGTGCGGGTAAACGGCGGTATTAATTTTGAGTAATCTTTGCTACGCTAGGTTCCCAAGCTAGAATTTATTAACCATGCATAGGAGTTGCGAGAGATATGGGAAAATAGCTTCAATAAATGGAAAATTTCTTAAATTTTATTTATTAGGATGTCTGGAGTTGCCTCCAAGCTATCACGTCTACCAAGATCAAGATCCTCTGGCTCCAGTTTTCTAAAAATTGAGCTCCAGTATGGATCCTTGAGGCGGCTCCATGGGAGTATTCTGAACCCTAGAGCTCCCAAAATTAGACATCTTAACTCATCACATTCGCTTCTCATTGAACTAGACAAACATATCGCTAAAGTACAGGTAACAATTAGTAACTAATTGAAGTGCAGTACGGCGTTGCTCGTGAAATAAAAAAATTGAAAATTATTTTTTTTTAAATCGAACCGAGATAACCATGGGTTCCCTCAAAAATTTCAGCCGATCGGGTTTAGCGTTCGGCATATGAATATATAATTTATGAGCGAATAATTATATAGATTATGTATATTCCAACTTTCAACCATATAGTAATATAACGATTTTGCTAGTAAAATTATTCTTTAAGTTTAGACAATTTGAATCATCGAACTAATTTACACTAATAACTTTTTTAAAAACTGGCCTTTTTGACACTTTTTGTCTTACGTTGTAAATATTATTTTATATTCTTCGTGTTTAAAATCTTCTAACATCATATTGTTTAAAATCTTCTTCTATTTCTTAAAAATCTTTTTCACCTTCAGGAGTTAGAATACAAGGTTTACGAGATGGAAGCACAACTACAGATGCGCGAAGCGTTAAAATCTCAAGAAAAACTCATGAAACCCCTTCCTCCACTAGAAGACACAAGGTTCGTTCAAATTATTAGTTCATTTTATTTTAAGATTCTTCCAAATACTAATTGAGTTTTTAAACCTAACAGTTTTTATTATTTTCATTTTTCTTTCTAGGCTAAAGAAGTGTTTGGTATCAGAAGAGGAGAGAAACGCGTTTCAGAACAGGTCGGCGCATTTTTGTAAATTTTCTTTTAAGGATTTCATTTAAATATAAGGTCTTGAGGGATTTTTATCGATTTTTAGAGGTTTGAAGTGGTTTCAATTTTCAATAAATCATTAAACGTCGAAAGAAGCTTTTCTTGACATCAAAAAGATCTTTAAATTTAATGCCTGACTTAATTTTGTGAACTATTATTTATAGAACGACGGGTTGTCCTTTAATAATAATAATAATAATATTTTAAAAATCCTGTAACTTGATTATTCTGACATTTATATCGAATTCTGATAAATATCTAGTGACAGTAAACTATCTTTCATTGTTTTAAGTCTTTCTACAACACATTCCTGTTTGACAACTATTCTTTTGTTTTGCGTCGCAACTCAAGTTGTGTACAGTGTACACAGGAGGGGGGTGTAGGGTGTGGGGTATGGGTGAAGTGTCCCCCACAAAAATCAGCTTCTATTTTAAAATCTGTAACTCACACATGTTAACTTTTTTCGTCAGCTATTTTCAATTTTAAGCTTGTATTCATTATTTTAAATCATAAAAACAATTTTTTATATTTATAACATCTAATATTAGAAATAAAATGTACTCAACATAGTTTATCTATTTTGTGTTCACAGTGCATTTTAGTCGTTATCTTATTTTTATATGCAAGAAATGTTTAATGAGGCGCCAGTGTAAAGTCACCTCCGTCTGGCTTTCTGCCTAACAACACAGAATAAAAACTAGTAATAAAGGCAGTTTTTCTCTCAGTATCTATCTATCTTCACTATTATAATCTGTCTGTCTATCTTTATATTTATCTATCTATCTAGTACTATCTTATCACATCCGGTGCAACTAAATTTGAAACATGTATTTGTAAAAAAATATCGGGGGGGGGGGTTCATAATATAAATAATATATATATATATTTTAGAATAAAAAAACCTAAGCATGTGCCGAGATAAGATTTAGGCATCTAAAAACGTTATTTAGATAATTTGATTAAAAATGAATAGAACTTCAAAAGTTTAAATTTTTCAATTTCCATTTTTTAGATTAATTGAAGCAAAGAAGAAAGCAGAACTTCTCTCTTTAAAGAGGAACCAACAGGAAACCAATATTCTTAGGTATGATTCTTTTGATTTTTTGACATACAACTTTGACTAGACGCCGAAATTGATTGATTGATTGATTGATTGATTGATTTACTCTAGAAGCTGGCACTCTAAAAAGCTTAAGAATGTATTGGATGAAATGAACAAAACAGATTCTATGGAGAATTCATTGAAGCTGCTTGCCGCCCCAACACAGGTAGATAGATAGATATATGGAAAAGATAAATATATGGATAAGATACATGTATGGATAGACAGTTGCAAAGATTGAAAGATTTAAAATTATTGTAAAATTTAGAATGACGAAGAGAACAACATATTCTCCTGTCTCAACGCCCTGGTTGAGATTGTAAACCTTGAACCTGAACTAGATCTAGACAACCCCGGAGACAGAATTGATCAGCTCAAGAACCTCTTCCTTGAGAAGGAAACCCTAAAGCAGCAGGTGGAGAACCTCAAGTACAAGATTGGGAAGTCCTCGGAGACGAAATCTGAGTGTGAGGTTTCACTGTTCAATATTGAAACCTCGATAGCCACCCTACAGCTCGAGGTTCAATCCTCGAGGTCTTATCTGGGAACCTTGCTCAGACAGAAACAGAATACAGCGCTCTGGATCTATGGTCCTAATCCTATATTTTCAGGTATTATATTTTAAGTAATTAACGCAAATATAATTTGTTTTTGTATTTATTTCTAACGTTAAGTTCAGTTTCAGTTTTTGGATTACTCCCAAGGATCCCTCTAAGGGGGTTGCAGGAAGAGTTCTGATTTTTATACGGTTTTTTTTCAGGGATTAAAGATTTCGAGTTCGGTGCCTCGTTCGAGAACCAGTTCGTTGTAGAGTTGTTGAAGAAGATGGAGATATCCCGTTTGCACGCCAGGAATAACCTCGCATACGCCCAAAACCTCGTCAACAAGTACAAGACTAGGCTTGCCAAGATCTCAAAGGAGATGAGCGTCGCCGATGCCAAAATCGACGCTCAGGTTGTGACGATCAACAAGAGCGACGAGAACATCGTCGACAAGCCGAAGAATGTCGTGAAGATCGAGACTCCGGCCCTACCCGCCCAACCAGAATCTATCGTATGTCAGACCAAGTGAAGGATTAATGTCAAATCTTGACAATTATATTTTTAAATTCGTAATCCTTGCAAAAATTATTTGTGCAAATCTCGAGTTGCTTTTTGCAAATATTTATCCAGTTTTTTCTCTTAAGAATCCAAGGAAGTGCGTCCTTCAAATCAAAACTTGCAGAGCTTAATATTTTCCTTGTAGCGGAATTTAAAATTTTGTATTATACAAACTACAAAGTATATGAATAATCCATGCAGTGCAGATGCAATTATCCCAAATCGATGTATTTTAACACATTTTCTCGTGTTAAACTTATGAATGAATGTGCTGTCAGTTTTTCTTCTATATCTTGGACAGCAATACAAACGTCTTATATCCAAAAATTCTCTTATTACAACATGGATCCTGTACTCCTGTCTCCAAGATATAACGGATATAAACACGTTGGCTGTGACACCGCTGTAAAGTGTAAACCAGTGATATGTAAATATGAAAATTGCGGATTAATGAGTTAATTAATCCCTCCACTAAAACTAAATTTCAATATGTTTCAGAGTGCTTTATATGCGAGATATTGAAAAGGAGTTATATCTGTGCAGAAGCTAGATTTACTCGGATCCGGATCCGAATCAAAATGATATGGATCCGAAACACTGTTTATTTTGCATATTTAAACTATTTGATCATGTGCTTCAAAATATTCGCTTTAAAATCAAAGCTATAGGGATTATAAGTGTACTTTCTAGTGACCGGTTATTCAAAGATGGCAATGTAAGATTCACAACGGTACCATTAAAAGCTTTGCATGATCAAGTATGAATTATAAAATCAATGTTTGAATTCTAATTTTTTGGTTTCGCCACATTACTGATGAAAAAAAGGATTTTATCAAAATAAAACGTTCTTAAATTTAGAAAAACGACTTTACTTTCTGATCAGATAAAGGTTTCCGGGGTGCCATTGTGAAGCGGGGAATGCTATCTTAGATTGGAGGTTCACTTAAAACTACGATTACATTCCTTCAAACTTAAAAAAAACTAAAAAAAAACTTTGTTTTATTTGGCTTTATTTAACCGTAACTTTATAATTCAAGGTGTAAGAATGGGCGGATTGGTGAAAAAGAGAAACCGGGGAGAATACGAGGTCGTGGATGAAGATATTCAGTTCTCCAAGAGACCCCGGATACTGGAGCAGAAGAGTACCAGGAAAACAAGGAGAAACTCTTACGAGAGTTCGGATGAGTCCAGCTCAGACAGCGGTGACGCCTTCAGCTGTAGGTAGGAGGCCTTAATAAACCAGTAGGAGGAGGGGGGGGGGAATATATGAAAGGGAGATTCAGCAAAATAACCCCATTGGGGGGGGGGCGGGTTGACCAGTGTAACTAATTGAAGAATATTGAAATAAATCGTTTAATAATCCTTGAATTAGACTACCCTCAGACATTATAAAGTTGGAGAAAGTTAAGAAGAACCTTGCAAATGTTTTGATGCTTTGCAAAATGCAAAATATTTTTCGCAGTCTGTATTTTATTTTGCATTTTAGACCGGCAAAGAGTATTCAAGCGGACAGGGAAATCAGCTTTAACATTAGAAACGTCCAGAATAACGATTCGCCGAAAAGCGTTCAAATGTCAAAACCAGTTAAGGAAGTTCAGAATACAATTCAACCAGAGATAAAACCCGTCAGTCATGATCAGCTGGAAGAGGAGGTGGACGATCGGCCAGTAAATCGTCGTTCGCCAAATGGTTTTTTGTTGCCAGATCCACTGCCGAAAGGAGAGCTTCTTGCAGATTCTCAAAAGCAGGTAAACTTGTTAATTAGAAAGCATAAAAAAACATGAAATATTCACACATAGTACGCAAATTGTATTTAATTTTATTTATTTTTGTCATCATTTAATACAATCTTATTTCTTTTTAACTCAAACTTTGACATTTTAGTTGAATTTATTAATTAAATGATGTGAACCGTAGCCTAATAATTTTGATCATGATATTGATTTATTTTTGTTGTAAGGAATGGGTCCTCGGTAAAGCTATAGGGGTTGGAGGGTTTGGAGAACTATATCTTGCTTCCTCGAAACAAAATGGAAAACTCTCGCAGGAAAATTTTGTGATAAAGGTAAGGAAAAATTCAATGTGCGACTTGGTGACCTTATGGCTTATCTAATTTTGATTTTATGCGAAAGTATGAAAAGACTATCTTTTATAGTTGTATTTATTATATTCTACGAGAGAAGGAACCCGATCCTTGAATTATCTCAAGAATAAAGTTTGTTTCATGAAAGATTTTGAAACTTGTTTTATTAGTGCATCAACTGTAAACAGGTCGGTTAAAAAGCCTTATAGTTTACTTTCACGAAAGAAACTTTTTCCTTCTTTAACGATTTGTTCTCTTCATTAATCTTTTTGTTCCATTATAATAATTTTTTTCTAATTCTCCTAAAAAATTGTTTCTTCACACTTGTAACTTAACGAAACATGAGATTACAGTTTAAATTTCTCTGACTAGTCTGCCTGCATGAAATTATCCATAATGAAACCAAATCAGATCGAAATAAAAATCATTGAATTAAATATATTTATTTCTGAACAAATTTTAAATCTTTTTAATTTGTGTTAAGATTGAACCCTTGAGTAATGGTCCTCTCTTCGTTGAAGTACATTTCTATATCCGGGCGACTAAACCGGTTCAGTTGGACCAGTTTAGGAGAGATAACAATATCAAACATCTGGGAGTTCCACGGTTAGTTCCTTTCATTGAAAACTTTACTATTTAAAGAGACAAAAACTTCATCAGGACTCAACATGAACAAAAATAATATTAAATTTTTTTGTTTGTTTGTGCTGCAAAAACTACTATTTTTTCCTACATTATCAACTAAAATTATTTTTTGAACACAAAATCACTTAAAATTTATTATATTTTATCCCTTTAAAACTTGAAAAACCTGTATTAATAACATTATCAACATAAAGTTCGCAGTAAGTTGCAATGAAAAGATGTAGTTGATTTAAATGCATACTTGGACATTAATTTTATCAAATGTTGTCTTGACGTCCTTTACTATTTAGGTATATAGCAAGCGGAACACATGTTAGGTTAGGACAGACATACAGGTTCCTTGTTATAGAAAGGTTTGGATCCGACCTACAACGTATACTTGACCTCTCAGAGGGTGGCAGGTCAGCATAGTTATTGTGTGTCAAATCTTAATAAATTTTTATGTAATTGAAATAGACATATTCATATTTGTTCTATACAAACCATCCCCCGTCCTCAAGAATAGGTTTTCTCCCTAATTTTTAAGAAATAACCTTACATCATTATCCCTGTCTTGTTCTTCTAGGGAAATGAATTATTTGGGGGGNGGTTAAAAAGCTTGCATTGAAAAGACCAATTTTTCATTATTACCCTAAAAGAGTTCCCCCTGAAATGTGTGAAATCCCGCAAAATAGATAATGTTACTTATTTTTAGGTTTAACGCTAAGACAGTTTGTGAGATTAGTCTGCAGGTGCTGGACTCTCTGAAGTACATACATCACCAGGGTTATGTACACAAGGATGTAAAGGTTGGTGTACTGCAAGTATTTTATGTACAGTGAAACCCTTAACGAATACATCGAAAGAATTCATCAAATGTCGTATTCTTCACTTTCTGAAAATGGAATGTTGCAGATATTTAGTTTTTTAATTGAATGATTATATGGAGCTATTTAAAACTGTTCCTGCATATTCGGGGCTATTTATTTTCGCAAATACTGACATTTACGTAATATAGTATAAAACTCATTGAAAAATTGCCAAGACGACATTTGATAAACTCTTCCGATGTTCGTTATTAAGGGTTTCACTAATAGTTATGAATTATTTCGAAGTAAAGACAAGTGTTGCTAATTGATCGCAAAAAAAAATCAAAGAAAATTGAATATAAAAACTATAAAATTTATATTTCAGGCGTCGAATTTACTGGTTGGACTTGGAGTTAATGGCCAACACAAAGTACATCTGGTGGACTATGGTCTCTCCAGTAGGTTTACAGCGGGAGGAATACACAAACAGTATCAACATGATCTCAGGTTAGTTCATCGGTATATTCTTATTCATTATTTCTATCCAAATAATTAAAAATGTAATCTCTGTTTTGTTTTTTTGTCCGATTACAACTTATGAACCCCCTCACTGATTTTCGTCAAATTTGAACTCGGGAGAACCACGGGAATCTTCTTATTTTGTTTCTAAGATTAAGTCGAGTGGGTCCACTTTTTAGTGGAAAATTGCAATTTACGACCAAGCGAGGTTAAACGGCGGGAGTATCTGTGAGTGCCCTGGACAACGCTGGGTTCTTAAGCTAGTGTATTACGTATTAGTAAATTGGAAAGCAAAATGCCAAACTTTGATAAAAATAATGTTTGGGTTTGAAAGCTTAAGTTACAGAAATAATTGATCCTCCAGTCTGTATGATGGAGTCTTATGCAATCCCTGCATTTTTCATTGATTTTATATTTTGACCTCAAGGAAGTCTTTGATACCTGGAGGGCCCGGCATTGCCCGTGATTAAAAAATGTAAAATAAAATTATATCCATCCCTGATTGTCCACAAAAAATTTCTCCCCAATCGGTCCAGCTGTTTGGCCGGCTATACGCAACATAAATATATACGAATGTCTTGTTTTATTATATAGATTTGGAATACTGACTTCATCTGAAAGTAATTCATATATATTTTTAAATAATCAAGATCTGTGAGAGTTTAATTTCCAGATGGGCACATGAAGGAACCCTGGAGTACACCAGTCGAGACTCTCATATCGGATGCTCCAGTAGGAGGGGAGATATAGAGGTTCTTGTATACAACCTCGTAGAATGGTTTGGTGGCAGTTTACCCTGGGATCGGGAGTTCGCTACCCCTGAAATGGCAAAAACGGCAAAGTTTAGAGCTTTTCAAAACCCTCAGGAGTTTCTCAGGTTAGTATCAAGTCAGTTAATAAGTTTTATTTTCTTAGTTTTAGTGGTCAAAATTTTCGCGGTTCATGAATATCGCTTATCTATATTCTTGAAAAATGTAATGTTTATTGTTTAGGCATTGTTTCCGGCAGGATGGTGGAGAATATCCAACCCTGCTCCTCCGTTTCATGAACTATATTGGAAACTTGAGGTTTGAACAGGAACCAAACTATAACTTCCTCAGAACCCTGGTGCTCCAGGTAGGAATTATCAGAAATTTTTTATCCCCCCCCCCCCCAGAAAAAATCTATAACCTCTCAACATTCCACCCCATTCTGAATAAAATAATATTTCATTCCTTGATTAAAGAATTGTCCAATTTTTATTTTTCATTATTTTGCAGGAGATGAAAACCCAAGGGTTAGTACAGGACGGACGCCTCGAGTTTAAACTAGGATCTCCGCCACCCTTATTGGAGCCCGAGGCGGAAAATATATATCTACGACCTCCGCCCCCGGAATCCAGAGTCTCAGCTGTCTTTGATCGGCTCTGTGTAAGCGCACAGAGTTGGGAGCGTGCACGAGAACAGATTTGGGCGCGTCGTGACAATGAGAGCTTAAACAACCCTACTCAGGCAATGTTGGATATCCTAAGTATGATCAAGAAAAGGGAGAAGGCCAAGGAAGAGAAAGGAAAACCAAGGAAAAGACAAAAAAGGTAAAAAAATACATATAGAAATATTAAAATGAATTAAATAAGAGATAGAATTAAAATATTTAATAAGAGGAGAAAAAAATAAATTTATTTTCAGTGGGAACTACGCTATTGGTGAAATCACAGAAAACACGCCCGCCATGTTGGAAGTCCTACGTATCCTTAAGAAACGAAACTTTGAACCGGCGGAGGTCGATGCTTCATCAGCCTCGCTGCTTCCTCGTTCTGTCCTCCGGGCCTCTCCGATACCGTCAGAGATTGTCGAATCCGCAACCTCAAGTTTTCTGTCTCCGGATAAATCTCGAGGCCGGATCCGACCCATGGAGTTGATGAGGCTGGATCCGTTCCTTGCTGATCCAGACTCTGCGACCAGGAGGAAAACAAGAAGTGCAGGTAACCCAACCTTTCATTCATTCGCCAGGTATCAAAGAGGGGGTTTAAAAGATTACCAAATAATTTTGGGGAAGCTTCCATAAAATTTAAATATTGGTTTACCGACAACCATAGATCTCTTTTTCTGGCAAATTAATGACAACTAAAAAAGTTTAATACTTCAAAGTTTCGGTTTTTAGTGGTAGAGAAAAAAAGTAACACGACACGGAACAATTTTTAAAAAGTAACAACCAATTGTGGAAAACGTTAAATATAGATAACAAAAGTAAGAATGGATATTATTATTAACAATAATGAATCTAAGAATAATGATGATACTAATGATGAAATAATAATAAAAATATGATAATTTTTTTATTTAAATATTTATTTCTGAAAGACAGTTTAAATTTAACGTTCTATATGTTGCAAACATAAAGGGTTGCGTCGTTTTATGACTATGATAAAACTAATGATGATGATGATGATGACGATGATAATGATAATACTTATGATGATAATGATGACAATGATAATACTAATGATACTAATTAGACTAATGCTACCAATGATACTAATTATACTAATGAGACTAATGCTTCCAAAGATACCAATGATACTAATGATACTTGTGATACTAAGCTACTAATGCTACTAATGCTACTGAAGCTACTAATTCGACTAAAGCTACTAATGATACTAATGAGACTAATGCTACTAATACTACAATGCTACTAATACTACTAATGATACTAATATACTAATGATACTAATGATACTAAGCTACTAATGCTACTAATGCTACTAAAGCTACTAATGCTACTAAAGCTACTAATGATACAAAGCTACTAATGCTACTAAAGCTACTAAAGCTACTAATGCTACTAAAGCTACTAATACTACTAATACTACTAATGATACTAATATACTAAATATACTATTGAAACGCCCTATCCCTGCAAAATAAGATTTGATTTGTTTTTATACTAATGATAGCGTGATAATGAAAATAATTATAACAATGATAACAGTTCTAATAATTAAAATAATGATTATAAAGGTAATAATTATTATAATGATAATAATAGTAATAATTATTATTATAATAATAATAGTAATAATAATAATAATAGTAATAATTATTATAATGATATTAATTATACAACTGTTTCTGAGAAATGAATGCTGCGAATATATAAGATACCGATGAAATTGAAACGAAAAATTCATAACGATTGATACTAATGATACTTATGATTCTGATACGAATTACGAGTGATGCCAATAATAATAATAATAATCCTTGTTTAGATATATCTGAGCAAGAGCTTGCAAGAAACCTAAGATCAGGATTTAGATTCAAGTTTGGACTCGGGAATATGCGCTCTATCATCCGACAAGTCTCAGATTCATTCACAAATATGTTCTAGCTCTTCATCCTTCATCCATCTTGGTTCATTCATCTTTCATCCATCTTGGTTTATTCATCCTTTATCCTTCTTGGTTTATCATTCATGCATACTGGTTTATTCACCCCACATCCATCCAGGTTATTCATTCTTCTTGGTTTATTCATTCTTCTTGGTTTATTCATTCTTCTTGGTTTATTCATCCTTATCCTGTTCAACCCTGATTCAAAATTATTCCATAAACTATTTCTGTAATCGGTCCTAAACTGAAAACTTTTGAAAGAACGGAATGAGTTGAGCTAATTCTCTCTTGGCGGGTAGATGGTTCGATCTCTCATTTGTCAAACTTAAGATTAATTCAATTTTTAAACGCCTAGTTTATCTAACTTCAAGATGAAAATGAATAGAACCAATTATGTTCATTCAAAATTTCCGTATCGATTCATCCTTTGACATTTTTTAAAAAACTTATCTTAAACCTTGACTAGTGAAGAAATTCAATATTATTCTTTAAAAAAAGAAGAAAATTAAACAATCCACACAGCGTTAGTTTGCAACTAGCAATAAACCTTGTGTATACTTAAAATTTGACAAAGTAAATTGTAAATGTATAAATATATTCACACTGCAAACATTGTTAAAAAGTTCTCTAAAATCAATGCAAAAATTTTTGTTGTATTCAATCGATCAAAAACTTTTTCAATCATTCTTCTGTTTAAAATTTTAATTTATCCTGTCTTTTTGTCATTCAGACCCTTTATTCATCCTGTCAATAATTCATCCTTTCTGTCAATTATTCATTCATTCAGCTTTTTAAGACACTACAATTTTTTCAGAAATTTCACTATTCTATATTTCTATACCACTGTTTTTTCGACATTTGTCAATACTTTTTTTTTTAAATTCAGGAATTAAAAGTTTGATTGATTTATAATTAATCTTGGAAATATTTGCCTTTTTCGTCAATTAAAAAATTATTGTGATATAATGAACAAAACAAACTAATTTTAAATGTTCAAATTGTACCTTTTTTGGTTTTGTAAAAATTAAAGTTTATGCACAAATATTTAATCTTGTTATTTTGATACTATAAATTCACTGTAATACCCTAACACGGTTAGAATCTCTTATTTACAAATGTAATGAATTAATATCAAAGAGTGACTAGTTTATGTTTATTGAGAATTTATTGTAAAATTATGAATCTATATTTTCGTGAGTGTATATTATGTATATTGATCAATAAAGTATTTGTTAAGTAAACTAAAATTCTCTTAATATTTGTTAAACTTATAATATTAGGTCTTCTAAGAAAGATATAATTCTTAACCCTATTCTTGCTGGGGGGGGGGCAATTTGACCCCCCCCCCTGTAGTTTTTTTAACATAACTCAAAAATTATTGGTCTGAGGCTGTTGAAATTTTCTGACTTTTCTTACATACCCAAAGCCCTCCCTTTAGGCCTAAAACCGGGCTTTAATACTAACTGCCTGAGTCCTCAGGTACACTGCCTGAATGACTGCTTTTGCCTGTAACAAATTAAATCTTTGTTTTAACCCACTATTTTGATAAAATTTAGCTTTTTGGAAAGCCTATGAAATAAGGAAACCGCTTGCACAAGTTTTGCGGAAAAAAATTGCTAATTTTTTGCAAACAACCTGTCAAAGGAAATTTGCACATTTTCAGTTTTTCTTGGTTAAAAATCAGGTTATTTAAAATTTTGCAAAATTTTTTGCATATTTGAAATGGCATGGTCAAGGGCTTTTTAAAATTTTTTGGACAAATATTTTTTTTTGCAAACATTTTTACTATATAACTGGATTTTCCGATAAAAAACTCAATTTTTGCAAATTTGCAAATTTATTTGCAGATTCTAAAAGTAGAGCACAAGAGCTTTCTAATGATGTATCATTTGTCATATTTTGACATAAAACATGGGATTTAGAGGGGGGTCAAATTGACCCCCTCCCCCAGCAAATCCTGGTTTTCAAGTACCCCAGCAGGGATAGGGTTAATTTGTCATAATTTTAAGTGACATTCTATTTCGAGAGGGACATGCCTGATTTACAACGGTACCCTTGAAACCTTGCCCTGGTGAATAAAGTGCAATATAAAATCGTTGAAAAGTTTTAATTCTGATAATTTTTCCAACGCTTCAGAGCTAAAAATGCGATATCCACTTATAGAAATATAGAAAGTTATCACAGAAAATGGTTATACATTCATACTGTTAAGACTAAGCTTTTCAGGGTGAAACGTTTATTGAGATAAAACTTTACACACGGACGATCACTGAAGATCACATGAAATTACCTTTTCAGGCCCTTTAATTTAAATTTAATGAATAAAAAAGGATGAATACTTGTCTAAGGAACTCAAATCTAGAAAAAAATAGGTTAGCTAACAAAGTTCACAAACAAAGAAACAACTTTACATAGAACTATGCATGTCAAAACATAGACTGAATAACTTTCTACAGTCGTCTTTGAAGTCTCATCCTTAAATAATCACAAGGTAAATCAGTAAACTCGGGCTAGTTAATAATCACAAGGTAAAGCAGTAAACTCGGGATAGTAAATAATCCCAAGGTACTGCAGTAAACTCGGGTTAGTAAATAATCACAAGGTACAGGAGTAAACTCGGGCTACTAAATAATCACAAGGTACTGCAGTAAACTCTCGGGCTAGTAAATAATAACAAGGTACTGCAGTAAACTCGGGCTAGTAAATAATGCCAAGGTACTGCAGTAAACTCGACTAGTAAATAAGGTCCTGCAGTAAACTCGGCTAGTAAATAATCACAAGGTATCGCAGTAAACTCGGCTAGTAAATAATCACAAGGTAAAGCAGTAAACTCGGGTTAGTAAATAATCACAAGGTATTGCAGTAAACTCGGTTAGTAAATAATCACAATGTACTGCAGTAAACTCGGCTAGTAAATAATCACAAGGTAAAGCAGTAAACTCGGCTAGTAAATAATCACAAGGTAAAGCAGTAAACTCGGGCTAGTAAATAATCACAAGGTACTGCAGTAAACTCGGGTTAGTAAATAATCACAAGGTAAAGCAGTAAACTCGGGTTAGTAAATAATCACAAGGTACTGCAGTAAACTCGGGTTAGTAAATAATCACAAGGTACTGCAGTAAACTCGGGCTAGTAAATAATCACAAGGTACTGCATTAAACTCGGTTAGTAAATAATCACAAGGTACTGCAGTAAACTCGGCTAGTAAATAATCACAAGGTATTGCAGTAAGCTCTGCTAGTAAATAATCACAAGGTAAAGCAGTAAACTCTGCTAGTAAATAATCACAAGGTACTGCAGTAAACTCAGACTTGGAAATAATCACAAAATACTGCAGTAAACTCGGGCTAGTAAATAATCACAAGGTAAAGCAGTAAAATCGGCTTGTAGATAATCACAAGGTACTGCAGTAAACTCTGCTAGTAAATAATCACAAGGTACTGCAGTAAACTCGGACTAGGAAATAATCACAAGGTAAAGCAGTAAACTCGGCTAGTAAATAATCACAAGGTAAAGCAGTAAACTCGGCTAGGCAATAATCACAAGGTACTGCAGTAAACTCGGGCTAGTAAATAATCACAAGGTAAAGCAGTAAACTCGGCTAGTAAATAATCACAAGGTAAAGCAGTAAACTCGGCTAGTAAATAAGGTCCTGCAGTAAACTCGGCTAGTAAATAATCACAAGGTACTGCAGTAAACTCGGCTAGTAAACAATCACAAGGTACTGCAGTAAACTCGGCTAGTAAATAATTACAAGGTACTGCAGTAAACTCGGCTAGTAAATAATCACAAGGTATTGCAGTAAACTCGGCAGGTAAATAATTACAAGGTACTGCAGTAAACTTGGCTAGTAAATAATGACAAGGTACTGCATTAAACTCGGCTAGTAAATAATCACAAGGTACTGCAGTAAACTCGGCTAGTAAATAATGACAAGGTACTGCAGTAAACTCGGCTAGTAAATAAGGTCCTGCAGTAAACTCGGCTAGTAAATAATTACAAGGTACTGCAGTAAGCTCGGCTAGTAAATAATGACAAGGTACTGCAGTAAACTCGGCTAGTAAATAAGGTCCTGCAGTAAACTCGGCTAGTAAATAAGGTCCTGCAGTAAACTCGGCTAGTAAATAATCACAAGGTACTGCAATAAACTCGGCTAGTAAATAATCACAAGGTACTAGAGAAAAATGGTGCTAATAAATAGTCACAAATCCCAAGGTAACTGCAGAAAAATCGGGCTATAGCAAAAGTCGCAAGGTACTGCGAGCGGGGGAAGGCAGGCAGCCGTAAGCCACAACATTTTCCCCTTTCATGGCACATATTAGTTTTTTGTCTTCAAACAGCCATGAGCCACAGGATTTGAATCTTCCGGCAATTATTACGTTATGAAATGGTAAAGGAATTGAGGTTTTGCCACAAACTCAAATCATTGCAATCTGATGGTGCAAATCTTTGATATTTCAAACTTAGATTATTTTATCTATAAGTATTAATAGTTTAAAATACCAAAGGTCTACGACATTGGGTTAAAAAGATATAGTGATAAGAAAATCAGAGTTTGTGGCAAAAACTCCATTCCTTTAGTGCATTGAAATTGTGATTTTTAAAAATCCAGCGAGCGCTACGTAATGCAAAAGATATTATGAAGATCTATTTATTTTCGTTTTAAATTGAAAAAATGACGATTCCTTATAATGTAAACTGCAAACTTATTTTTCCACAAAAATAAATTCAATCTTTCTTCTAAAATGGCTTATTTTTAAAACATTATGAACTATATAAAATAAGACAACGTTCAATGGGAGCCCATAAACGATTACAATTTGCACTATTTAACGCGAAAATTTCAAAATTGATTTTTTTTTGGTGGAAATCTGTAACGCTCAGGTAATGGCGGTTATTATTGTGATTTTTTCATCTTTTCTTAATCTTTAGACTATACCACAAACAACTTGTCTCGGTGCCCACAATGCGTAAAATGATGTAAATTTTTTTTGTAAAATATAAATCAGTTAATCAACGGCTTATGCAGAAATAAATTTATGGGGGGGGGGCAAACTATGTTCGAAGCGCAAAATTTTTGCCTGTATGGGTCGGGCAAGATTTGAACCGTAATTTCAAAACATTCTGCTTATTGACTGCTTCTATATAGATACAGTCAAATTACCTTGCAAGAACTACTTTACAACTCTCCTTCAAACAAAACTAGCAGAAAAAAACACAATTTAATTTTTTTAATGCTCTTCACTACTCAGTTTCAGATTTGTCAAGTGTGAGCTCTGAGTGTTATGTGGGAGCTACGACCCCATCCTTCAGATTTAGGGGGTGGGAGTACTTTCCCCTTACCCCCTCCTGTATACGCTCTTTGGAGCAGTTTATCAACTGGACCAGAGAGGGAACCCCCGGACGTCATGAACCTACGCAAAACATCAAAATGTGCCTGTGTATTATTGGAGGTTTTAAGTTTAAATTAAAGATTTTTCACAAAGTTTCGACATGGCGGCATAAGAGGTTTCTCAAAGATAAGTATTTTTCAATTAACATAAATAGTGCCTAATTATGACTATTAAAGTTGTATATAAAACTTCAAATTTTTTCTAATAAATCTCCTGTAATACACTGGCACATTTTGATGTATCGCTCATGCGTATTTCTGCTTGTCTGCATAGCGTCTGTGGGTTCCCTTCCTCCCTGAACACACAATATATTTTTCTTTAATCAACGTCTAAAATTTCTAAAAGATCATCTTTCGCGAAGTACGTCGAGGGAGGGAACCCTCGAACGCAGTGAGCCTCCGCTATTTAGACACGAGCCTCCCAGAGTTACTAGGCAGACCAAGCCTCAGCTTTGAAGAATGAGCATACGCATCAAAATGTGACTGTAATGCAAGGTTTTTCTTTTAAACTTGTGTTTTACATAATTTTTTTTATAAATTTAGACATAGTGGCATGAGGCTTCTCTGAGATGAAAAGTATCTTATTTAGTGCCTAATTAAGACTAATTAATGTTTTATTTGTGATATCTTTCTTTGCAGTTTCCTATGCCACTACATCAACAGAAATTGTTAAGTTATCACTCATAGTGACCAAGAACTAAAAAACAAACAATATGCGGTACAAGGAGAAAGAATGGCGAGAGGCTTGGCGAAGTCACTTAGGCTGAGAGTCTGTTTCGCGGGGTCTGGACGTGTTTCTGCAAATCTAGAGGCTCAGAATTTGTTAATATTTAAAAACCAGTTTCAGCATATGGACACGTTCCACATTTGGCGAGTCATAAATAATAATTAAATTACTCTCGAAAATGTGCCACAGAAACGCAATTTTAGATTTGCCAAAAAAAATTTCTTCAGAACGTGGCTGTATATTTAAAAATCGCACTTTTTACTCGGCGGAATGTCTTACTAATATCCAAACTTATTCTTCATTTTGAACTGTTTTTTCTTTTTAACAACTTTCTGTGCATGAACGGAAGCGGATCATGAAGACCTCTTTTAATATTGATCATTCCACGATCAAATAGTTAAGCTAGTTAATGACCAAATTAAGAAATAATTCTCATCAAATATTCAGACCGAATACAACACTCTAAAACACAGATAAAAAATCAATGTTAGTTGTTATCACTTATTTATTAACCCTGTCGGTAACAAAATATAATAGTTACTTAAACATGGGAATAACCAATTAAATTGCTCGATTTGCACCAGCATTAATTCAGATTTGGGCAACAGAATAGGGCTATCCGACGAAATTCTTTCCGATGGAAATAAACATATTTTTTAAAGTGTGAAAAAATTATGTAAACGAAATAATCGCCACAGGGTTTGATGTGGAGTTGGTCGGTCGTTCCAACATCGCACAGTACTTGTTGCCCCAACACTTCATCTCACTTCTTCTTCTGAGCCTGAAGAACATATTTAGATTAGATAAGAGCATATATTCCAGCCTTCTGCAAATTTGCAAGTTAAAATTGCTTGCATTCTTTCGAGTTACTGAAAACTCTTCTAGATACCTTAGATTTTACCCATTTTAGATACAAGATTAAAGAAATTGTGAATTTAACGTTCGAAAATAATAATGCTGAACAAGTCTACACAGAATGAAGAAATTTTCTATACGACCACACATCAGTTTGCATTTTTGTGGTCATTCAAAAAAATTCAACCAGAATAATCGAAAGGAATTCAATCAAATTTTAAATGCCCACTAAAGATATCAAGATATAAAGGAATTGTGAACGTTTCCAGCTCAGACAAAAGTAAATATCAAAGTTATTACCTTGGCAGCAGACTTGGTGGCCGAACCAGCTACATCCTTAGGGGTAGTAGCCTTGATGACACCGACAGCGACGGTCTAGGAAATACATATTTACATTTTTGTTTACTTTATTCCGAGTTTATGGATGACATTTTAGTTTCAGTGTTGTGGGATAATTGTGCATCAGTTTTCAGACCCGAAAGATTTACCATCATAAAAAAAATTAAAGAAATTAATAAAAATATTATATACCTGTCTCATGTCTCTGACAGCAAAACGTCCAAGAGGAGGGAAGTCAGAGAAGGCTTCGACGCACATGGGTTTGCTGGGAACGAGCCTGACGATCGCGGCATCTCCGGACTTGATGAACTTAGGGTTGTCCTCAGTGGACTTACCTTAAAGGATAAAGATTAGCACATCACAAAACGCAAAACCTTAGTTAAACTGAAAGAACAAGTACAATTATAATGCTTACCAGTACGCCTGTCAACCTTCTCCTTGATCTCGGCGAACTTGCAAGCAATGTGAGCGGTATGACAATCCAAGACTGGAGAATATCCGTTCGAGATCTGTCCAGGGTGGTTCAGAACAATAACCTGTAGAATACATTTGTTAATGAAACGTATCACAGTTCAGAGTTTAAATATTCTAAAGAACTAATCAAAAACAGATTGTTCATAAGATCATACCTGAGCAGTAAAGTCCTGGACTCCAGTAGCTGGGCGGTTCTTGGAGTCAGATGCAACGTTTCCTCTCTTAATATCCTTGACAGAGACGTTCTTGACATTGAATCCAACATTGTCTCCGGGGGTGGCCTCAGGGAGAGACTCGTGGTGCATCTCAACGGACTTGACCTCAGTGGAGAGCTGTCCGGGAGCAAAGGTGACGACCATGCCGGGCTTGATGATTCCAGTCTCGACTCTGCCGACTGGGACTGTTCCAATACCTCCAATTTTGTACACATCCTGGAGGGGAAGTCTGAGGGGCTTGTCAGTGGGTCTGGTGGGGGGAATGATGGCATCGAAGGCCTCCAGAAGAGTGGTTCCGCTGGCCTTACCCTCCTTCCTCTCAATATTCCATCCCTTGTACCAGGACATGTTGGGGCTGGTTGCCAACATGTTGTCTCCGTGCCATCCAGAGATGGGAACGAAGGGAACGGCAGCTGGGTTATATCCAACCTTCTTGATAAATCCAGACACCTCCTTCTGAATCTCCTCAAACCTGGCCTGACTGTATGGGGGCTCGGTGGAGTCCATCTTGTTTACTCCAACGATCAGCTGCTTTACTCCAAGAGTGTAGGCCAGAAGAGCATGCTCTCTAGTCTGTCCGTTCTTAGAAATACCAGCCTCAAACTCTCCAGTTCCTGCAGATACAAATATTTCAAGCACTTGTTTAGTGGGAATAAATAATCTTTCGAGATAAATAGCTAGAAACATGTCATACATGTCATTCATAATATCAGACTTAATAGATTATAATCTTACCGGAAGCGATGATAAGGACACCGCAATCGGCCTGAGAAGTTCCAGTGATCATGTTCTTGATGAAATCCCTGTGTCCTGGAGCATCAATGATGGTGACGTAGTACTTAGGGGTCTCGAACTTCCAGAGAGCGATATCAATGGTAATTCCACGCTCACGTTCGGCCTTCAGTTTGTCAAGAACCCATGCGTACTTGAAGGATCCCTTACCCATCTAGATAAAAAATGATTAACATAGTTTACGCAACTAAAATGAAATTAAAAAGCATAATTTTTTAGGGATGTTAAGTGAAAAATTGGCCAAGAAGTTTCCTTCGTAAAATCTGAAGTGCATTATCGTACCTCCTGGGCTTCCTTCTCGAACTTCTCGATGGTTCTCTTGTCAATACCTCCGCACTGGTAGATCATGTGACCAGTGGTGGTAGACTTGCCTGAGTCGACGTGACCAATGACGACAATGTTGATATGAGTCTTTTCCTTTCCCATATTGGCTGGTTAGTTCTTCTGAAATAAACAAATCCTTTAGCACAGATATTAAGAGTTACCGTAAGGACAGTTTACAAGAGCATCGTAGAATCACAATATTCCGGCAGGAGCAAGTAGAAATAGAAGTTTAAACCATCTTTCTGAGAAGCTCGTTGATCTTATCCTCTCTGTTACCGAAATCACCACCTTAAATATTTCAGTTAAATAAAGGTATTAAAAAATACAAATATATGGAAGAAAGCGGTTTCAGTGGAGTTAGGGGTTAAGTCGCATTATTTGTCTAAGACAAGAGGTGCCAGAAGTATGTATTCATCATGTTAGAAAACCTGATTAATAAAGTATTAATTACCTTCAACAAAATGGTTGACTTTCTTTCTCCATCCACCGGTGGGAGTGTTAAGCTTGAAGGGCCACAAAAAGTTGCTGGCATACTTGAAATTTGGTCCAACAGTTGCGATCTCGTGGATAACATCTTCGACACAGATCATACCGTACTTGCCAAGAGTATTCTCAACAATCTCGTTGGAGGTCAAAGGAGTTCTCTTACCCTCAACCTAAACAAGAGACAAAATTATTGCATACTAACAGAAATGTTTAGTCCCGCAGGGTGGGAGAGGGGAAACCATGATTTGTACAATTAACTGTAATAAAATAAATTAGGCGGGGAAACAAAAGAATCTTCCCCTTTGACCAGAAAGAAAAATAAATAAGCGCTCTGCGCAACCATAAAAAATGACCGGGGGAAAAGTTCTGTAAGGGGGGTGGGACGCGAAAAAAAATTTAATAATTATTTGTTACGAACGTTTCCGGACCAAATACAAATGGAAAAGTACTCAGTAGGATATTGAAAGTATTAATCTTAGCCGCGTGCAATATGTTAGACTGTACCAACAGTTAACTTGACGTGAGCAGCTGATGTTTAATATGCAAATGTTGAAAAATACCCAGGTTCAACAATTTAGTGGGAGGGAGTTTTAGAAACGAATATTAACCCGGAAATTCCTTATTATATTCGCTGTATTTACATAAAAATTTACATGTGAGAGAAGTTAAAACCAACACTAAATAAAACTGAGCCGAGATATCGCAATCGATTAATTTGATTAATTCGATCATAAGAAAGTTAAGCGAGTCTTATAACCAATATTCCAAAACCATTAAAAAAATGTTTTGAGGGGGGGAATTTCTTCGTCATTATAGTTCACTTCAACTTTTCAATTTTAATAAATTAATAAATTTATTTTTTATTATTTCAGGGTTCGACAAGGTTTCTCCAAAAAAAAGTGTGTTTTGTCTACTATACTAACAATCATTGTTTTGTAGTAATAAGTACAAAACCCATAGATGGAGGGGGTAGGGATGGGGGGTCGTAAATGAAACATTTCTCAAAAATGCCGTGTTTAACTCAAAATTAAGCATAATATCCGAAAATATGCTCATCCCATTTCCAAAGATTTTAATTGTGCGTTAACCAACAAAAATGTACTATGTCCTTTACAAAATAAAATTTGAAATCTTTTTTCTTGTCAGTTTTAAAAAACCTCGATTCGATCATTGAAAATATGTAATTTTTTCTGTTCTGTCATATAAAAGGAAAAGTAAAGTTGTAATTTGAATTTCACAAAAAATCGTTGAAAAAGAAACGGGCAGCACATTTTGGCACATTAAATCCACGGCATTTCGGAGATCCCCTCCATTTTCCCACGGCATTTTAGGAAAAAAAATGTTAAGATAGACGACCCCCCCCCATTTATGAATTGTACCTATATACAAATGTTAAGAATCTATGTTCAAAAAAGTGTTTTCTAGGACAGACCCAAGTGATGTTTGTATATATGTTACTAAAGAAATTCAATACCTTAGCGAATCCTCTCTTGTAGACCAATTCCCGGATAGACTTCAGGTTGGGTGTCCCCCATGCAACATAGGGTTCTTAACATATTATACAATTAATTTTTGCAAGTTTCAGTATGTTTACTTTCTTCAAGAATTAAAATTTGTTTCAAGTGAAGTGTATCTAGAAGGTATGGAATCCCGCTAGACATAGCGAACACTGAAGTATAATCTAACAGCATGAACGCCAAGTATTAGATTGAAAACTAATCCTGGAGCTGATGCTGTAAAGACAGGATTTTAACAAAGAATAAACTTCCTTGTGAAGACAATAGCATAAGGAAATCGACAACGGTTTAAAGAGAAGTCAGAAAATATCTATCCACAACGCTTAAAATAAGGTGAAAGATTTATAAAGTTAATAAACTTGTCCAATAAATTTTATGAATTAACCTGTCTACTGTTGAGAAGTGAGTGGATAAGAGGTAGTGAAGGGAATCCAGGTTTCCTCATCCACAGTTAACAATCACCACGTGGTCCAACCACGTGACTCATGCAACAAATTTCAAGCTGCGCATGCGGACATGCGACAGCTCAATGCTAGCTCGGACTTAAGTCCTCGCCAGATAAATGGCCACTTACCGCAGATCCTCAACATGTTAATAGTGGCCTTGTTCAGCTTGATGAAGACACCGTTGTTGATCTGCCTCAATCTGAAGAGCTGGAGAACCTTGCGGACCTTGGGGGCGACCTGGTTGATACCACGGATACGCATGCAGAAGGCAAGCTTTGGCTCAGAAGGAACATGGAAGTTTCCCTCCTTCTTAGCTTCTCTCTTCAACCTAGACATTATATATTGCAGATATTGAAGACCAGTGGTTATCTAACAGTGGCAAATAAAAAATGTAAAATCTAAATGTAGCAAGTTTAAATATTGAAAACAAAATAATATTTGGTTTCAACTGTAGGAATTGCATTTAATTTTAGACATTTTCAGATCAATGAACTATAAGAGTGCAATGTTCCTAGGATGTCCTGTAAAACTTTATTTTAGCACTCTTGCCCGTTAATATATCTTTTCAGCAAGTGTGAATACCTGAGCTGGTCAAGCTCCTGAGTTCTGTACTCCTTGGCATACTTCTCAGCCCTTTTGAAGGCCTCAACCCTCTTGGCCTGAAATAATAATAGATTTAGACATACTTGATAATTACAGATATTAGATATTTTAATCAATAAAAATATTCAAGACCAGTTCTAGAGATTAGACTTAAGTATAAGTACAAGAGCAATAATAGCGATTACCGCTCTTTTAAACTAGTAAAGCTATTATTTAGGACTGTAGGTTTCTTAAGACGCTAATTCTGTTTAATTCGGGGTAGGCTTTGTCTAGTTAAGAACAGCTGACGCAGTTTTAGTCGCCCTAACTGACAGGTTTTATTTTAGTTTAAGAAATTTCCTCATATGCCAGTATTAACACTTCTAAAGAATGAGTTAAATGATCTAATCATGAAGCCACCCAACAAAGACAATACTTAAAGAAAGGGAGAAAGGGCAAATAGGGCAAATTGTCTGATTAAAAGATTTTAAACTTGCGTCATAACATACCTTCTTAGTGATCTTGGACTTTAGGGCCTCCTTGGCTCTGAGTGCCCTGCTTTCTGCCTGCCTCTTCCTCTTCTTCAGAATAGTCTCGGGGACTGCGGGAAGCTTCTTGTCTGGCATTTTGCTGAAAAACAGGAAAAATAAATCTATGCCTCAACTGTGGCTCCGGGCATGGTTCGGATAATATCCGAATCTCCAGGATCGGTGATGGAGAGGGTACACACTCTGAAGTACTTTCCACAGGCGGTTCCCAGCTCGTTGTTATCGCCGACATAATGATGGACGCCGGTCTAGGAAGGGTTTGATTCAAACTACTTCTGCAGAACTATCACATTCAAACACACAATAATGAGAAATAAATAAAATAAAAGTAGCCAAGCTGAAATAAATGTTGCAAGTATAAATAAAAATATTTGGTTTCAATTTCTAATTTAAATATTTTCAGATCAGCGAAATGAGTACGTCTAAATGAAGATAAAGGACGTTCCTATGTCTGTTCTCCAAAGGATTTTTGTACCCC